GATTCTACAACAGCCAATAACACGCAAAAACCGAGCAGCTCAATTCACTGTTTAGAATATTTCTCTTCACTGAGGTCTTTACAGTTCCTATTTCAGACAGTTTAATAGAGGATTAGTTCTCAGGCACGGCTTCATTTTTCACTTCACTGAGAAATAAACATCAGGCTCATTTTCCTTTGCAAGAGAGCTCATAGCTTCCAAGAGAAGCATTATGCACTCTTGCTGTTCCCTCCTTATCCCACCTTGAAGCCCTCCGAACGCTCCCCTCACCCAGGGCGATGTTCTCCCTGCAGGAATCCTGCAGACATCACGGATAGGGCTTGGGGGGCACAGACTAAACCCAAATCTCTCTGTAACTCAGAACAGCAGCTCCCAGAGCTGGGTGCCCCACCAGACTGCATCCTTGTTTCCTCCCTCACTGCTTTCTCCTTTCGTTATCTACTGAAGACCGTGGAAAATTACATTCAGTAAGGCTGCTGGGCTGTCAGTGGCCTGCAGAACACAGCCTGTGTATGACAGCGACCTGGTAATTGTTCGGCATCTCTGATCTGGGGGTTCTTTCTCCTGGGACATGAATAAAAACAGCTTCTTAATTAAGTCCTGGGTATTGATTTCATTTTCATCCTATTAACTGCTTTGCCCTACATGTGTTTGCTACACACAGTAGGATTCCCCTTACCCCCACCCCATATAGATGCAGCCAGCAAAGATAAAACAGCTTCATTAGTCCTATCTACTCTTTAGGCACCAGCTTCATTTCTGCTTTAAAGTGCTCTTGAAAGAGCCTCCTTGACAGCTTCCAGGCTGCATCTCCCTGGCAGAGCAAAGATGCATGAACCAGCATCAAGAGCCCTGGATCATTCAAACCAGAGGAGAGAAAACTGCACAGCCTGTAAGGAAACCCATCTGGGTTTGGGTAGATGGTGGGGCAGGTGATGGGAGATTAAGGGGTCAGAAGAGCAAAATCCCTGGAGCCAATGCCATTTGTTAACCTCTTTGCAAAAGAGGTAGTGGCATTTTGTCCTTAAATACTGAGCTCCAGCATATCCCAAGCAGCACAGGGTCAGAAAACCCCAGACTCCCAGTAAGGGTAAATCCAGAACTTTCTTCACAAGCAGCTACGGGAGGAAGCCACATAAGTGAGAGGAGCAAAGCAAATCCAAGGTTGAAGAATGGGAAGATGGAAAAATGGAAGAGTAGAAATCTGATAGATTGAAGAGAACAAGCAGAAAATCAGCATTTTCCACAGGGCTGTAGAAGGAGGACACAAAGATCTGAGAGCTTGCACCGCATCCCCCATGGTTATTCGCATCAGTAACCAAGGCTGAGGCTCACTCGTGCTCTAAGTTCATGAACTTACAAAACCACGTGGCCTTTGGGCCAGAGAATTCATGGTCAGAATTAAGGACAAGAAAGAATTAAGCACAAGAAAGGAAAACAACCAGGAGGAAGACTTATTACACAAGTGAGTAGGGGAGATGTAAACACCCTGAGAAGAGCTATTTTCGACCGGTCAGTCTCATTTCTTCAGGACATCGCAGAGAGGGACTGCAGGAATGAGAGCTGGCTGGCAAGAAGTTCCCTACAGAAATTTGAGCTGGCAGAGAAATGGTGGCACTGAAGCCTGGGACAAGCCCAGAGAAGGAGATCAAGGCCTGACAGCACTTTCTATGCTGTCATGTGTATTCAGCTTCCTTTGGTTTTTAAGCTGAAATCCCAGGAATTCTCAGCATACGCAAATATTTGTCACCCAAACCTGAGCACTGGACTGAAACACCGCTGGGTCAGGAGACCTGCCTGCCAGCTGTGTCTCTCTTAATACCAAGGGCAACTGCCTAAAAGGTCAATGAAGAATAATCAATCTGAGCAGCTAGCTTAACTTTTGCTGTGAGTACCTACTAGCTTCCAAAAATCATGGTTGATTGCCAAAACCTTCTGGTAAAGCTTCATATTTGGCTTTGGGTTGTTCTTCCAAAGCAGAACTGAGCAAAATCATTTGTCTGGTTTCAGACAGTACTTGGATGTTTACACTGATCTAAGAATTAGCTCGAAAATTTTAATATGCGCCAAGTTAAGTGGCAGCAGGGACTGACTGCATGAAGTGCACCCAAGCGCTACTTCACAGTCCAGATTTTTCTGTTTTTCCTCAAGAACGAAGGCTCGGTAAGGTCAGAACAACACAGCCTTGAGTCCAGCCACGCTGACTTCCACCAGCCGAGGGACGTCGCTGGAGCTGCCCCATCTCCCTTCTGCAGCCCCGTAGAGCAGGCAGCACTTATTTCAACTGAATTAGCAAGAAAGGTCTGGAATGGTTAATTGAAATTATTTAGCCATAATGTTTTGCCCTTCTCCTCCTCTCCCCGGCATAATGTTTTCTAAATTGAATTCCTTTAACAGAATCCAATATGCAGCAAAACTGTTGTTCCAGAGAAACGTAACGTTTCGGGTCTGGCTCATCGCCTCCCCCGCGGCGCAGGGAGGCAGCAGCTCCTGGTGACCCCTTTGCTGTCCCCATCCCCTGCCCAGCACTGGTCGGACTGGGCACTGCATCCCCTTCAGGCTGGTCCATGGGGCAGCAATGACACCAAGGGCTCAGCACCAGGAGCTTCCCTGGTGCCTCCATCTGGCAGCTGCTGCTTCCTTGCCACGCAGGAAGGTTGGGGAAATCAGAGCTTAACCAACGCCGGGTCCTGGCCTGGTGGTTTTCCTGCACGTAATTTGAGAAGAGCGCTGTGGGGTCTGTTGTACATCACTGTGCAATACAGCATTACCTGGCAGTGCTGGCCCCAAATTCCCATCCCATTCTTCATCCTCCTCTCTTTTCACAGCACAGCTGAGGCTGGAGGCCCTTCAGGTCCCACTGGCCCAACTCCTTCTCCCGCTGTGCCACCCCAAGCAGGGTGCCCAGCACCACAACCAGGTGGCCCCTGAAGGTCCCCAAGGAGGTGACACCACAACCTCTCTGGGCAGCCCATCCAAGCCAGCACAAAGCACTGTCCCAGCAGAGACAGCTCCCCTTGCCCCCCCTGAACACCAGGGCTTCTCCCAGCACCTCGAGCACCAGCCAGGTCTCCCACTGCAGCACTTTGCAGGATGCATTTGCTCTCCTCAGCACAAAGCCCCGCTGCCTGCCGTGACTTCCAAGGACGTGCACAGAGAAGTCAGCTCAGTGGCTTCGCGTGCCTTAGGTAACCAGTTCCTGACTGCCCTCCCCAGGGGTTTCAATTTTTTGTTTAAAGAAACCGGATGCTCAGAGCACAGGGAGAATTAGAGTCCTGCTCTTTCTTTTTAATAGCTATTGTAATTTAATTGTGGAGCTTTATTCAAACCTTGAGCCCGCATCTGGAACAACATGCCTTCTTACCAAAGGAAAGCTTTCTACGCAGAGCCAGGGCAGATGAGGGGCAGCGAGCACGGCCCTGCAGGAGCAGTGGGTCTGGCAAGCACCTGCTGGCAGGGCAGGGGCTGTCATCATCCAGGCACAAGGGCCGTGCTTCTGCAGAGCAAGAGGTGCATCAGTCCGTATAAACTGGAGCTCTGCATAGAAGAAGCACCTAGAGCAGCCCTGAAGCAGATGTCATAGCAGGTGGGAAGGCTGCTCACCTGTAAGGGCAGGTGCTGGTACTGGGGGTCCCGCCAGGGCAGCCCTCTGGAGCCCCCCAAGGTGCCCAGGGCAGCAGCCCGCAGGGAACCACGGAGGTGGGGATGCAGCAGCCCCCCCATGGGACTCAGAGCACGCCCTGCCCAGGGGATCAGCACCACAACTACCTGTGGGCATGGTACATTGAGAGACGAGGATGGGAAGTTCAGAGAATTTGGTGTTCCCTTCTCTGTGAGAAGCTGATGAAGTTTGCAATAATATTTTGGGAGGTGAAGAAAAATACATACATATGTATTCCAACCCACACAATTGGGGTATGCTTTCAAGGCTAGTTTTAAAAACAAAACAAAACAAAACATCACACTTGGTCCTCTTGGACCCCAATGTCACCAAACTTCCTCTTTCAATCCCAGCCTCTCCAGGAGTTTGGCCCCAAAGCCTTGGCTTTTATGAACCCAAACCCAGCAGCAGGGCCTTGTGATGACAAAGGACCCCCCCCCAACCCCCTTTTACTGGGGGGGGCTGAGGCAAGGACATCACCCGCTGCCCCTGCAGCCACACAGCTCCCCAGGCCTCTCCCTGCCCCAGTCTGTCTCAAAGGGATGCTCGAGGTATAAATGAGAACACCCTCCCAAGTCTTTTTTTTTAAAACTCATTTACACAGCAATTTTGCTAATGTTGCAGTCCATGCTTGCTGCTCACAAGTTTCTCAGCAATTTATTCCAGCTATTTTCCCCCAGCAGATGCACAACTAGAGAGAAATTCTCATCCCGGCAGAGGCAGAGGAGAAGGATGTTCATCTTATTATGTCTGGGTAAAGCTTATCTGCTTAGCTGCTGCTCCGAATTATATTTACAGAGCACAGCAACAAAGCCAAGTGCACTAATTGCTGCTGCTCAGGTGGAATATCTTCTGTCCACTCTAAAATATGAAGTCCCACTGATGTAGGACTTATCTAATAAAAGTCAGCCACACAGAAGGCGTTTATTGTTTAACCATCACAATTATTTCATTTCTGCTATATCTTATAAAAATAAAAGGAATAAAAAAACCTCAGTGATTTCTCGCTTATTGCTTTGCCTTTTTCAGGCAAAGACTGCTGATTTCTTATTTATTTATTGTTTAAAAAAAAAAAAAACAACTCATTACAGACAACAGACAGATACATCACCCTTTAAATCAGCCTTGCTCAGAGGATACAGAAGGAGGCTCCTCCACAGGACGGAGGCAGCCCATAATCGGGTGCTTTCCATCCCCAGCACGGTGGGCTCCAGCCACCCACCTACCGGTGCTCCCAATGGATGCACATGATGCAGCCGGCAACCCATGAGCAAAAATGACTCCTAGCCTCGAATCTGCATCTTTTTCACCGTATCAGCACTGCACATCCTCATCTTACCTCTAGTTCAGCCGTAGGGCTTCCCACAGACCCCACACTCCCAGAGCAGAGCCCAGCCTGGACCAGCCACCACCACGCAACAAGAAGCAGCTCCCCCAGCACCTCTATTTAAAAGCATCCCCAGGAGGGTGGCAGCAGGGTGGGATGAGAATTAATTTGCATCTAAAGAGGGCCAGCTGGTAATGCTATGGGAGAAACATCCCAAAAGCTAAACGCAGCTGGGGCTTCTCCCCCTTCTTGGAGTCCCCACAGCTCCTTGCCCCAGATCCAGTCCCTCTCACCACCCTCCTCCTTAAAATCAGCCCAAACGCACCCTCCTCTGCCTGGGCTCAGAGGCATTTCATTTCTCTTGCAAACCCATCGTTGGTGGTTAACTGGGCGTGTAGGATCCATATGTGTCCAACGCTTTCTATTCCTGCAGCAGCATTAAAGACTTCTGCAGGAAAGTTGGCAAATGGCTCCCTCTTAAAATAGCCGGCCCTTGTCGTAATGTAATCTCTTGTCATTCTTGTTAGATAGCAGAGCTCCAAGGATTTAAACAAAACCTTGGCTTCCTTCGGTGATGCCCTACTCCTAGCGGGTCAGCTGGGGAGGTTTGCTCTAAGGATGAATTTTGTCCCAGCCAAACGTGGGGCTCGATAACGGGGGTAGCAGCCTTAGGGCGAGAATACCCCAGACCCAGGAATCCCTGGGAGGGGGCAAAGGCCAAGGCCAGGGCCTTCCCCTCAGGGACCTGCAGGCCCCAGAGTGGTCAGAGTTTCATAGCAGCCCCCCATGGTTGGGCAGCTTTGCTGGTGCTGAGCTCATACTGGTGAGGGTGCGACACAGCTGGGACCCGTTTGCTGCCTGCGTTTCCTCCCTTCCACCTCCCCGCCCATACAAGAGGGGCTGGGGGGCAGCTTTGCATTAGAAATGCCAACTTTCTGAACGTGGGGGGCATTTCCCTGCTGCTGGGGGCTGTTGGGCTGCCCTTGAGGGGTAGGAACAGACGGTGCACGGCTCATGCAGGACACGGGTGGGCGCGAGGCAGCGTTCAGCAGAGTGTCCTTCTGGGCAGCCAGTCCCTCAGTGCTGTCACCTGGGGGAGGGAGGGGCTGTCCCACTGCCCCCACTGCCCCGCACGTTTGCAGTCCTTCAGCCCGAGCCTCACACAAGGCTCCTGAGGCCTCCCCCAGCCTCTGGGGCCAGGCCAGGGACCACAGCTCCTCATCGCAGCCCTCGCGCTGGATAGGAAATGAGCGGGGCGATAAGGGAGCTCGCTCGGCAGCCAAGGGAATATTCTGTGCTATCAGGAGATAAACTAATATCCCTTCCAGCCCTGGCAGAGGCTCAGGAGTGAGGCGTGGGGGTGACAACTCACACTGATGTCGATAACTCCCACCTGCTCCAGGGCAACCATCGCCCTCGCTCAGGTTGCTGGGGGGTGGGTGGTCGGTGCTGCTGGCACGGGGAGCCTGCCACGAGGAGAAATCCCAGCCCCAGGGCCCTGCGGTGATGTTACAGCCCCTGGGGCCATTGGGGCAGCCCAGCTGCACATGGCAGGTGCCTCGCTGGGGCTGGACCAAAAGCAGCAGCTCGCAGCCTGGGTGGCTCCCCTCCATCAGCCCCGTGGGCTCGTTAAGTTGACCCAGGTGTAATAATTAGGTGGCTGAAGGGTTTGCAGGAGCTGCAGCTCCCTGAGCTCCCCGTGCAGCTGGCTGCTTGGGTTTGCAGCCCGTCCCCAGAGCCAGCACTGGGCTGAGGTCCCAGCTGGGTGGCCGGAGGGTCCTGATCCTGCATGGGGACCCCCAGAGATGTCCCACACAGGGATGGAGAGTGGCAAACCCAGCAGCTCAGTGAGATGGAGCTTCCTGCCCCATTCCCCTCCTACAATGCAGGATGCTGTGGGACACACAACCTCTCCACGTCACCATCAGCAGGTCCCACCTCCCCCTTCCCACCTCAGCTCAGGGCCCACATCCAGCACCAGGCCCCAGGGCAGCTGCACGACCCTGGGGATGCCCCAAAGCACCGCACACCAGGTGCCCAAATCCCCAGGAAACAGCAAATGAATCATTGGAGTTCTCTTTGCGTGGTAAGTGGAGCCAAGGGGAGCAGTGGTGGTGGAAAAGAAAAAGAAAAGGAAAAAGAAGAAGAAATCCTCCGCTAGCCAGCAAACGCCACAAGCAACGCTGCACACAGCAGCTTGAGAGCAAAGCCTGGATCAGAGATCTTGCTCTTAAACAGAAGCAAAACCAGAGCTGCAGACACTTCCTCAGGCAGCCCAGGGCATGCACAGCGAAGGCTTTGTACCAGTGGTTCGTAAGGAGCCATTGATTAACTCCAAAGCTTAGCTGCAGGCTGCGAGGCACGGTGTTAACATTAAAATTGTTGCATCCCTCCAAATGAGGCACCCACCAACAGGCCCAGCCCCACACAGCCCCGTTCTGCCTGGGAGCACGTTTCGCAAAGCTGATGTATTTCAGCCTTTGAATCCCAAACAGTGTGGTTAAACCAAAAGAGCCATTTTTTGGTTTTGTAAACAAGTGCCTGTTTTTGGCAGAGGTGCAAAATCAAAATCTGGAATTGCTGCAGGAACCCTCCCAATAAATCAGGCGAGGATCCAGGCTGCCCTTCCACATGCCCCCTGCCCACAGGCATCGCCGACTCAGGCCCCATCAGTGTGACCAAAACAGGAAAAATTCCTACTAAAATCCCAGCCAGTGCTGCCCTGACGGGCATCAAAAGTGGAGCCTTGCCCAGGCTTCAGGGCAGGCAGAGCCCCCGAACACCGGCATTCCCCACGCCCTTCCCCAGGAAGATCACAGATTTGGGGACGTAACGCTCAGAGGCTGGATTTCTCCTGGGTTTTTCCACCTCTCACCTTCAGTTAAAGCCAATTATTTTCATTATGTTTAATTACACAATATCAGAACGTGTTACTGTAATTAGTGTTGGCCCACAATTGAACGGGCTCCACGTTGGGCACGTCGGTGTCTGCGGGGTCGTGCGCGGCTCCCCGGGGAGCTGCGGCCAGTGCCTGCAGCAGCCCTGGAAATCCAAACCTGCAAACCTGGGATTTCTCGGCCAGCAAAGCCCACGGACGATGCATTTTATTGACCAACCACCCTCCAGCCTCCAGACTTTGATGATTTAGGGATTTTACCTTTTCCACAACCAGGCAAATCTACACGGAGAAATGGGGATAACGGCAAAGCAGGAGCGTTGGGATGGAGCTGGGGGAGGTCAGGAGCCACTGGAGGCATCCCCAAAGTCTTGGTGCAATGCGGGGAAAAGCGCTGTGGGAGCTCCCTCTCCTGGTCCACACCTCTGGAAGGGCTTTTCCATGGGACCTGGGTGCAAGGGAAACGCTGCAAGAAACCCTCCTGGTGCATCCTAACCCAACAGCCCCAAACATCCCTGCTTGGACACGGTGCTTGGCAAAGCCACGTCCCGGGGCGGGGGGCAACATTTGGAAGGTGAGAAATGGGCACGGCACCACCCCACCTCGCCCCGGGGTGCAGCATTGCTCCATCTCCCATCTAAAGCAGCCCCAGAAGCAGCAACTTTGCAAGCTGCGACTTTCCCAAAGCAGTCAGCAGATGGGGACGGGGACGGGGACGGGGCCCTGCGGCCTCTCCACCCACGGGGCTTTGAATTTCAACACCTGGAGCAGGTTTGGCAGCAGCCACTCTGCCCAGCTCCAGGGGACATCGAGGCTTTGGGGTGACAACGAACGGCTCCTTCTGAACCCCCCCCCTCTCCTCCCTGTCCCCCTGTGGAACAATATTTGACGGATGTTTCTATGAGCCATTGAGTGCCCATCGCTTGGAAGGCTCAGTGCTTTTTGAAGCCACATTTTTGGGGAGGCAGAGCGCGGTGGCTGTGCTCAGGGACAGCATCCCATGGACCATGGGGCACCCGGTGGCACCGCAGGGAGGCCAAATCCTCCAAAAACAGCCCCGAGAGGCTGCACAAAGCCTTGGGATTCCTCCCAGCTCCAGGAAACGGCCAAAGGGGTTGTGAATAAAGAGGAAAGTCCCCAAACTTACCCCAAAGCGAAGGTGGGCGCATGCTGGCTCCCACCTGAGCTGACGGTGCCATGGGGGCTCCTCTCCCTTGGGCAGGGCAGGAGGTGGGGGCGGCACTGCACACCCCCAGCGAGAGCCCAGGATCCCAACAGCTTGGGATTTCACGACTTTAGGGTTTCAAGATAACACAAAATTTAAAAACAAACCAGCCAACAAACCCACCCAGGCAGCCAGGCTTACTTTTTTACTATCTTTTTTCTTTTTCGCTCATTTTCTTCTTTTCCTTTCAGGCCCAAGGATGAGAAAAGCAGCCCAAAGCCAAGGGCTCAGGACCCCCAGCCCCACGCTCTGGGACAAGCCCCCACGTGGCGGCAGTGCTGCGGGCAAAAAAAGGCCAAACTCATTTTAAAGCACTTTTTTTTTTTTTTTTATTGATTTCATTGAAAACAGAACAAGAAAATGATCAGAGCCAAAAGGCTGCTCCTTTAAAACTGTCAAAAACATTAACAGAAAAAAATAATAATAATAAACATGACGGCATTATGAATGTTCTAGAAGAGATGAACAAAAAAAAAAACTGTTACTGCACTAATTACAGTATTTAAAGATATATGCAAAAAAAAAAAAAATTAAGATAATGACCTGCCCAGCCACCACACAAAAGGTGATGGCAAATTTATTCACACTACAATACTAACAATTTAAAAAAAGTTTTGTGTTTTTTTCCTGCATTTTATACTAAAATCACTTTGTTCTTTTTATACAATTGATAGTTTATATTCACGTGGTGAGCAAAAATCACACCAGAATCAGCACCGTTTTGTTTTGTGGTTTCTTTTTTGTTGTTTTGTGGTTTTTTGTGTTTTTTTTTGTGTATTTTTTGTGGTTTTTTTTTTTCCTTTTTTAATGCTAGTCCCCAATGTTTCAGTAATGGTAAAAAATAAATCAGTTTATTGAAACCTCATAGCATGTGGCTTAAAAATTAATTGAAGGTGCCCAGCGTTGAGAAAAGTGATGGGAACGGACGAGCTGGTGGCATCCGGGATCTTCTCGCTGCGACATGTCCTGTCTGCTGCTCGCCCCAGCCGGCAGACGCGAGTCGAGGTTCTCTATAATATATATATCATCCGCTTTATCTTTA